AAAAAAAAAAAAAAAAAAAAAAAAAAAAAAAATAATACAACTACTAATAGGTAATACTACCCAGTAATACACGAATTTTGCAAATGACACAATTAACCCTTAAACAGTCGCGTGGGGGACTAGCATACCCCCACATAAATAAAAACGGATGTATTATATTGCATAAACGGTGTACATAGATATAAATTTAGAAGATGGTTTTTATAGTATTATTGAATAAATTTTCATAATTAAATACCTCCGAAAAAAAAATGTATGACTTAAAATATCCATCAAAGTTGAAATGGGTCATAATGACCCCCACGCGCCAAGTAACGTTATAATTTTTTTTTAGACTTGTATTTTTTTCAAAATATCGTTTTATCGTAAATGCAATGTCATAATCAATATAATATTGTGGAATTGGGATTATGTGGGGATCTGCCACCGTCTGTGCAATTAAGTTTTAAAAATAAATAATCTATTGAGAATTTCCACTACTCGACGATACGGAACAAGTACGAACTAAACATGTAATAAATACATCCCGTCGCAATGTGGACACATCGATTATCGGTGCCTCATTTACAATTACCACTATTCACATTTACTCCTCCTGACCCTACTCGTATTATAATAATTAAATTGTATAGTAATATTAATAATAAAAAAATTGAATTCCGAAAAATGATTATGTAAATGTAAATACACATAAAACTAATAAATATAAGCTGTGTTTGAGCTCAAAAAAATACAAGAATAATTAATAAAAATACATTTTGAAATCGTAAAAGCTTTTATTTACCGTCTAAAAAATAAGATTTTGCAGTTAAAATAATTTTTTTACAAACCAAAATTTTTTAATGAAATTTTGAAAATTAAAAGTTTTTTTTTTCGTAATATAATTTTTAGTAATGCACATAATTTTGTCATTTATTTATCTTTTAATTTAAATTTTTCAATTGTTATCCATATTTATATATCATATGGTAACAAATAATGTCTTTGAATTAAAAAAAATGAACTTTTTTATACATATTTTATCCTTTTTTAGAAATGGGGTCTAATAGACCCCCACGCGACTATGAACGTTAAAAATTGGTACGCGCCTGTGCTTAAGGGTTAAGAAAATTTATGTGAATTATCGAATTCACATAAATCTTTTTAATTGTGTCTTAAATTCATTGGATGAATTTTTCAAATAAATAAATAAAAATTAGATTCCAGTTTATATTATAATTCTGATACATAAATAAAAGTTATCTCAGAGTATAAATTGAAACATAAAAAATTATAATATAATATATAATAATATTATTGTTTTGTGAATCTTGGCTGTACCCTTTTAGAAATTAACCATTACAGTAATATTTATTACATTTGATTATTATCATTTTATTTTAGTTGTATTGTTTAAAATTAAAACTATATTAAAAATATTATTAATTTAAAACTAAAAAATATTTAATTAAAAAAACACAAACAATTACTCAAAAATCGCAAGTAAATAGTTCAGAAACAATGTTACTATTATCAACGCTAAACACATACTAATACACATTAGTTATATCAATTTGATAGAACAATAATTTTTTTATTATGTTTCACCATTGTCATATTAAGCTAACCTTAATGTTTTATAAAACTAGTATACCACAGACTTAACTTTTGTAAAATAGTATTTTAAACTGTATCATCATTTAATTTATAAAAATGAACTCTGAATCTGACTCTGAAGTAAAAATTTTAAAAAGAAAGAAGGTGTGATAGAGAAAAAAATACAAACAGAATATTACTAAAAAAACAAACAAAAATTAAGTCGGTCGATATAAAAAAATACTTTAAAATATATATCAGAAGAATATAATGAGTTTTGGGAAACTATGCTGAGTGATTATCAAAGCATCATTTATGTTATATTTATATGCAATTGTTCAAGATTAAGATTATTTAAATGATTTATAAATAATGAATAATTATTTGTTTGAAAAATATAAAAGGAAATTTTGTATTATTTATTTTATAGAACTTACTTCATTAAATTCATTAAAAAGTCAAAATAATAATATTTACAGCAAAAAGGAGACATAATTAAATTTTTTAATTAAAATAATATTATCAATTTTTTTTTTTAAATTATAAGAAAATATAATTTGTTGATTAAAATTGTATACAAAAATTTAGAAACTTGTATAATTTTATTTGAGTGTATTAGCCCATTTTTTCAATTAGCGATTCATATACTAAATGTATTAGTAATTGGGATTAAAAAATAAGTTATGTGATTAAGTTTCCCATTTTAATAATTTAAAAAATTACTCAACTGATTTTTCTTTTCTTTTTTTATTTTATTAAAGAACATACATTGTAGTATTTGTGTTATACTACATTTTAGCATAATCAATGTGTATTTGTGATCTAATAATATATCACAATGCACAATGAATAACTCAAAAAAAAAAAAAAAACTTTCATTAAAATATCGAACATTGTATAATCAAAGAATAATTTTTCAAAACGGAGAACAATTTTAGTTTTAGTATTCTGAAGAGTGAATTATTGTCTTATTGGTTGTGCATATATAAAAAGACAATTTATTCTATATTATATTGTGGAACTAGTTAAAAAGTAATAAGTATTATGACTAAAGTATTGTTCTTTTACTTCATAGATCTACAAAATAAATCTCTTTCAACAAAAATAAATAAAATTATAACTAAGACACCAAAATAATTATTAAATAAAAGTCTATCCCATATATCATATATATGTAAAAGACACTATCTTATTTGGAGCCCAAATCAACGTGTTTTTAAAATTCATAGAATTAAACATTTTAAGAGAAATTTTTTAAAATACAATTTACTTTTAAGGTAAAAATAATGATTAATAGTTTTTAATGATGAGGTTATATAGAATAAAAATGATTAACACTTTATAAAGAAATAAAGTGTGTAAAATAATCTAGTTATTAGCAAACAAATTATTATTTTAAACATGATTTTATTTTAATAAAATTATTTCATTTTATAATCATTTATAATGTTTATTTCTTACTTTTCTTCAAATTTAACTCTGGTTTGAAAACGGTATTTCTTTTTCATCATTGGATCTTTTAAATCTTTAGGTGATACTTTATCTACTGTCACATCTTGTACAGAATACCTTGTTGGCATTAAATGATTATAATTAAGCACCTTTAATATAAATATTTTTATTAATAATTAAGGTTATATTTTAATTATCTAAAAAATTATAAAGCGTGTTAAACAAGATATTATGAATAGTGCAATTACACTTGATCATAACATTAAGATAGTTAAGTACTTTCTATTATATCGAATGATATAATAAGATAAAATTTAAAATAGTGATTTTAACTTATTTTCTCAAATTATTACAGTACTTTAAAATGTTTGTAATTAATATTTAATTCAAGAGGACTATATATCAATATTCATAATATTTGACATTTTCATATATTATAACTTGGACAGTTTATTATTATTTTAACTAAATATGTTATTTAACATAAACTAAATATAAATGCTAAAAACAAAGTAGCATACAAGTAACTCTAATGGAAAGTAAATACTTTCTTGACAAAACTTTTTTCAAAATTAGCTCTTACACTCACAATTTGATAATATTTATCAGTAATTTATTATTTACAATTATGGTACTGGAATAATAAAAGAATTTCAATATACAAAACAAATAAGCTATCAAAAATACAAAGGTAAGTATTGAACAAAATTTTTAACATTTTAAATAAAATAAAGAATGAATATATTAAAGTTTCAAGAATGAATTTTCATTGTGTAGCCAAAACAATCTTCTTTATTATTGTGTAAATGTTTATTATGTATTTGTATACAAAATTGAACAAATCTAACTAACAAATCTTATAACTTTACATCTTTAATCATATTGGTGTACATTTTTTTTTAAACAATTTTTACATTTATAGACTGCATTACAAGAATATTTTTTAATTATACTTGATAATAATTAAATTAAAAACAATTTTTTTTTTTTAATTTGATTAACATTTAAAAGTAGCTGTTCAAAACTTTTAACAAAAAAATTTTATGGGACAATAACAATTTTAGAATGAGTAATTATTGAGTTATAAGCATAACTTATAGTTATGCTATTATGTTATTAGTTATTAATACATAAAATTAGTTAGTTTTAATATATAAAATGGGCATGGCTCATACTGATGTATATTTATAACGCAAACTTAACTAAAAAAAAATCAAATTATTATTGTAATTAAAATGTGTTAAAAACTAGCTATTTAAAAAAAATTGTTATTTATAATAATTCTTTAAATTATAATTTGAACAGTATATTAATGCAAAAATGGTTAAAAAACAATAATTATAGTGAAATATTCGTTACATCAAGATTTATAGATGCCAGTTAAAACTCTGTATAGTTAACTGTCAGAATATAATAACTATTTTGACACTATAACACTATATGACTAATAAATTCATTAACTAATGAAATTTTTCAATTTGTTATCAATTTGATTTATTATTATTTTTTTTTTATTGCATAACACGTTCTTTTGTAGATACAAAAATTAGTTAGAAAATTGAAATCTTACTTTTAAGAAAGGTTTAATTTTAGACCTTTTTTTCAATTTTTCTTGAGACATACGTTTAGTGACTTTTCGAGGGTATCGGTCAATACCTGCAACTAGTGCGTGACCATATTGTCTTTCTGATGTTCCTTCATCATAAGTCTTCATTACAACTGCTTTTCTGCCAGCGTACCTTCCAGATAACACTAGCACTATTTTACCAGATTTCATTATTTTACCCATTGTGCTGGTTATTAAGCTGTAAATTTCAAAGAATTATTTTAACAGTTACTCATATTTAAACTAAAAATAATATTACTATAATATAAATATATAAAAATTACAAATTATATCAAATAAGACTACTAAGAACTGTCACGTTGACATGTAAATAATGTAAAAAGTACAAGCAAAAAAAATAGGGAAATAATCGTTAAAATTAAATACCATAAAATAACAGATGAAAGATATTGAAATTTAATAAAAGTTAATTTAGATTAATAGTTGGAAACACTTTATTTAAGAATACTACTCACCACAACTCACACGATTCTAACACGAGGAAGGATATGATCGCTAAAAAAGAGAGATATTTGTTTTTGTAAAGTTTTTGAGGTTAGGGATTAGGAGAGCACCAGTTTCACCGAATCGCCTTTTTGTTGTGACGTCTAATCATGGAATAAAAAATAACAGAAAAATTGTATTTATTATCCATGATATATTTATTATAAGACAATTATTCTATTTATTTATTACATTATATTTATTAGAAATATATTATGAATATAATTTTAGATTTTTATAAATTTAAGTTATAATAACAATGAATATTTTAAAAAAAATACTTGTGTATTTTATATATTTAATAAAAATAAGTTTTCCATTATTAGTGAAAAAATTAAAATGATTAAGATATATTTTTAATAAAGGATAAAATAGATGAGCCGTTCTAAAGAGAGGTGTCACGATAGTTTGAAACCCATGAAACCAAAAATGCTAGTTTAAATATTCAATTAAACAATATTTTTTTAATTGTCCATAAGTTAATCTTACTGAAGCTAAATAATAAATTTCAAGTGAATTATACTTTTACGTAAAACTATTTTAATTACGTTTCTATTTTAACGTATTTTTTTCAATTTCACTTTAATTATATTGGACATAAACAATTTATTGTTTAAGTATTTTTATGTATTCATACGATAAAATCACATTATTTAAATCATGTTTAAAAATATATATTTTACGGAAATTAAAAAAAGAAAGATTTTTTTGACTATGTATATTCACTATACTTTTTAAATTTTTAGTCAAATTCAAGTAATATATAATAGGATGAATTTGATTTACTCAATTTATAAATTGAATAAATCAGTTTATGAAACATTAAAGGCTTATTAAGAAATGTTAATTTTTTTAAGGATTTATTGAACATATACTTTGATGTAAAGTCAATAATTGTTTTTTTATGGATCATGATGATCCGATTATCTATTAATAACAAAATAATAGTTTGTAAAATATAAATTATAAATAAAAAATATAACATTTTATTTATTATACTGAAATTTGAACAACTTTAATTTTTATTTTAACAACAATAACATTATGAATATTTTAATGATTTATTATTTCAAACTAGTAACCTTGATTTATTAATTTTAAAGTAATAAATAATTTCAGGGTATGTTTCAAAATGAATATACATATTATGAAATTGTAGGTGAACTCTCTATGAAAATAGAAAATGCCATATTTTTACTATACTTGTAGTTTTATCTCCTTAATATCTTTAAAACTAATTCATGTAGATATTTTTGAGATATCAACTTAAAGATTTTTTTCACAAGACTAATAATTTTAAATCTTCTAACAGGGTTACTTTCGAATTTTTAAAGCAAACATCCAATTATAAACTTAAGAATATCCTATAATTAGTCATAAATAAATAAATTCATTATTCTGACTTTATAGTTTCAAGAAAATTATATAAAATTTCTAGACTAATATTTACTTAATAATGAAAAAACTAATGTATTACCTATAATATTGACACTAGTTTTAATACTTAAATACTAAATTGAAAATAATTAACATTTTAAACAATCAACAAAATTTATTGGTAAATATTTTTACTAAAAAAAAAAGAGCATATCAAAAGGGTTAAAATTTTCACAAAAATAACTTTCATTAACATTTGCTATATCTAAAAGAAAATAGACATTTAAAATAACCAATTTCAAAGTAAATAATTAAAATTTAAGAGTAATGGAGTATCAATATAAATTATTTTGTTTTCAATAGAAATTAAAGTGAACAACATAAGTTAATATTTGGAAAAAAAAATAATAACAAATATATTAATTCATATTCCTATAGAAATATTTTATCATTTTTTTTAATAAAAACATTCTTTCTTTCATTTTCATTGGATTTAGGTCTATTATTAAAATTATGTTGAAGATATCTAGACATTTTTTCTGGTTTAAGTTTTCTCCAGTTTTCTTCATTTCTTAGCTTTTCTTGATCTTGATTACTTTTATGTTTTCGCCAAATTTGTTTATTATCATTAAATTTATCATTATCTTTATATTTGTACATGTGTATATTTTTGCTAACCATTTTTGGGTTTAGAGAAGAAATGTACATTTCAAATTTTGTCAGTACTATTTTTATCTTATTAATATCACCAGAAGTTAATTCATTATTATGTATTGCAACTTGTAATTTTTCTGGTATAATTTCTAATAAATTAAACCTTTTGTGTACTAATGAAAATTTCATATTATGATTCTAGAAATAAATAATAAAGTTAAATAGATGAATTAGTATCATATATGTTAGAATCATATACATACTTGCATACTATACACACAAGCTATATGTTTGATAGTAAGCATCTGTGATATATATTCCAGTGATTTCATTATGTCTTTTTTAGTAACAATCAAAAATGAAATTATTTGACTTAAGAGTTTTTCTTGGTGAATTTGGTGTGGAAATACATCTAAAAATTGTGCCAACATATTTTCAACGGGAGTCGAATTGGGATTTAATCTATAAAATGTATAGACATAATCAATTGAAGCACCAAAACTTTTAACATCTACAGCTAACTTCAGGTGGAATTTTGCTTTTTCATAGTCCTAAATGTAAACAAAATAATTATTTAAAAATTCAAACCAATATTTGGCTTTATAACAGTTAAAAATTTTTAAGTAAAAAATGAAAATTTTATTATTAACCAAGTGGATTATTAAAATAAAATTGTACATATAAGCACATTATGGCTTAAATCTTATAAAATTTAGAAATTCAACTACAAAAAATACATTAAATATTATTCACATAGAGTAAATAATAAAGAAAAAAATTATTTAATAGCCCACTTATTTTTTTTTAAATTGCAATTTAATAGTGATACTATTATATACTAATTTAGTAACCTATATAAAATTAGTTAAACTAATACAAGATGTATTTTAATTTTTTTAATACTTAAAATCTTTGTCATAAAATTGTACTTTATTTCTTAAGTAATAATAATTAAAGAAAATAAAAATTATGTTTTTAAAAAATTATCAAGATTGCAGATGCTTTGAAAGTTTAATTATGACTTTATAAAACATTATTAAAGAATTATCTAAAAATTCATTATTGAGGGTTACATTAGTTAATAAGTGTTACTACACAGTTAAAATAAAAATAATGAGAAGTTACTATATTAAATTATTACCATACGAGTTTATAGATTAAGAGAAGACTCCTCATTTTCATTCATTTATTAAAAACGAATAATAAGTATGAAAACTAAATTAAGCAGTTAAGTATTACACATCTTTTTTTTCCTTTGGATAGGGGATAAAAATACTTCTACGGCCCCTCTGCTAGTTGCAAAAGGCGACTAATGAGGTTGCGTCAGGTCGACAGCCGGCATACAATTTTTGTCAAATATTAAGAGGTGTTCTAAATAAAACTTAGGCGAATTGTCCCATCTCGGATGTATGCCGGGATAAAAGGTGAGAGGGAATAAAGTAGTTAAAAATGGAGAAGGCCAAAGGAATAAAGTTTTCCTACAAGGACAACAAGTCGTTGGAACATTAACTAGTAAAAGTAGAGAATTAGTAGAAGTATTTAAAAGGAGAAAAGTTAACATTTGGTGTGTGCAGGAAACTAAGTGGAAAGGAGAGAAATTGAAGGAAATAGGTGAGGGTTATAAAATAATATATTCAGGTAATACTAGTATAAAGAATGGTAAGGGATAATAATGGATGAGGAGATGAAAAGTGAAGTAGTAGAAGCTAGGAAAAGTGATAGAATTATAGCCGTAAAATTGATATTCGAGGAAAGAGTACTGAATGTAATAAGTGCCTATGCATCACAAGCAGGATGTGATAAAATAAACAAGGAAGTGTTTTGGAGAGATATGGATTAGGTGATGCAAGGGGTAACTAGTGATAGGTGGATAGCTGGAGATATGAATGGACATGTAGGTAATGAGAGGATAGGATATGAAACAGTACATGGAGGGTATGGTTTTAATGGGAAGATTGAGTCTTGAGAAGAATCCTGCATTTTGCAGTATCGTATGATGATGCTGTGTTTAATACTTGTTTTATAAAGAGGGAAGAACATTATATAACTTATAAGAGTAGGAGGGATAGATCATAGATTGATTATTTTATGTGGAAGAGAGAGAGTGTAAAGCGAGTAAAAGATTGTAAAGTTATACCAGGCGAGAGTGTAACTACACAACAGAGACATGTTAATGGAGTTTTGGTGTACTGGGAAGAGAATATACAAAAACAGAAGGAATATGGGAGAAAAATCCGGTAGTGGAAATTGAAAGGAGAAAATGAAAAAGAGTTTGTAAAGACGGTAAAAGAGAGGATGGTGTTGACTGTCGAGGGAGACATAAATGATGTGTGCAATAGATTTGCTAGTTGTGTAAAGAATACTGCAAAGGAGATTGTTGATGAGAATAGGAATAGAATGCCAGGAAACAAAGAAACCTGGTGATGGGATGAAGATGTTCAAAAAATTATAGAAAGTAATAAAAGGAGAGGTGCCGTGGCGCATGTTATTTGCTTACGAAATAGTGTTAATAGGAAAAAATAGGAAGGAAATTAATCAAAGGTTATAGCTATGGAGATCAGCTCTTGATGAAAAGGGTTTAAGAATAAGTAGAAGTAAAACAGAGTATATAGTGTACGAGTTTGACAAAAGAGAACACGAGGTGGTGCAATGAGGAAATCAGTGACAATAGACAAAGACGTGATTGGAAAAGTGGATAGTTTTAAGTATTTAGGGTCAGTTGTGCAAAATAGCAGTGGTATTGACGAGGATGTAAGACACAGGATTAAGTATGGGGGTTGAAGTGGAGAGGTGTCTGGCGTCTTATGCGATAAAAGAATTCCAAAGAGGCTAATGGGGAAATTCTACAAGACTGTAGTGAGGCCAGATATGATGTATGGTTTAGAGTGTTGAGCGGTTGATAAGAAAGTAGAGCAGAGATCTAGTGTAGCAGAGATGAGAATGCTTAGATAGAAGAGTGAAGTGACTAGAGAAGATAGGATAAGGAACGAGCATTAAAGAGGGAGTATAAGTGTAGCATCAATCGTGGATAAGATGAGAGAAATTAGATTTAGATGATTTGGTCATGTTATGACGAGAGAAGAATCGAAAGCTGTAAGAACAGTTATAGAAATGGATGTTGAAGAAGAGGTAGAGGAAGACCAAAAAAAAAGAGATGGTGGGATGCTATTGAATGCGATATGAGGACAGCTGATGTGGAAGATCGTGTCAAATGGAAGTTTGGGATAAGGGTGGCCCCCAAGTAGTTGGGATTAAGGCAAGGAAGAAGAAAAAGAAGTATTACAAATTTTTATTTGAGATCAACTTTTTACTTGCTTAAATAACAAACTATATTAAATAGTATTTTCTTACTTTTTTGTAAAACAAATAATAATGACCAATAGCACCGTGTATATACCCATTGTTACTTGATTCTAATTTTTTTACCAATTTTTCTAAAGTTTCAGATATTACAGAACTTTGTTCTTTTACTTCTACTTTTGATAAACTTAAAAGACAGTTTTTCAATAAAAATAAATCATTTGTTTCTTTCATAACATCTCTAAAAATATTAAAAAGTGAAATTATACAAATTTGGAATAGGTTTAATTAATGCAGAAATGATCTAACTTAAAAAAAAATGAAAGTATTGCCTAATATAAATATTAATAAAATAAGGTAAGTACTTTAATAAAATATAGGAAGCCTCAGAGACAAGTATATCAGTTTTAAAATCTATGATGTTTTTACTCATACGCTGATAAACATGAACTAAGTGTAGTTTATGATGAGGTTTGTTACCAAGCCGGACTGCAGTTTTGGCTTCACCTATTTCATCTAAAGAAAACTGATTACTTCCAATATTTCTAGAATAAAAGGTAAGCACTTTAGACATTAAATAATGCCACTCTGATTCATTATCATTTAATGATATAGCTTTTAGTGCACAATCTCCAGAAATTTGTATGCACGGTAATCCATACTCATAGAAAAATATTGACTGTATACCAAACAATGCAGCTTTATTTACATTATCCATATTATTAACAGTGTCAAAATCTTCTAAATCCTAAAAATGGAAAATTGATTTAAATTATAATTGAAATAATATAACAATACAATTTCATTATTACCATTGTCTTAAGATTGCATAAACTCATTATATAACCCTTTAAAGAATAAGTGACATGTTTTATTGCAGCTTTTATAGAGTTTAGAAATACATCTTTACTGTTTATTGATGACAAAATATCAACAGTATCATTTATACTCTCTAAAGCTTCATTTAATTGTGTTTTGGATATATACTCATAAGATATAACAATATTATAACCAAACCTGAATACATAATTTTAAGTTAAAATACAAGTCTTAGAGTTTAGTTTATTATTATATAACTTTATAATATTACATATTGTATTCTACTTGGTAAAAAAATGTAAGCTATTTATAAATAATATTTAAGAGTTTCCACAAATAGAAATTAAGTATATTAATATTTACATAAAACTCATAAATTTAATTTATATTTAGACTTGATACCATATTTCATCAAAAATATTTGATTATTTTTTTTTATAACTAAATTTTAATGTTTTTCAAAAAATAGATTCTAGATTATGATATGATACTAACATAAATTACTCTTTATTCATTTATATGAATACTACACATAATAAATATGATCGTATTATGTTTAATGTAATTAGCTTATTTAGTAGTTAAAGCAAAAGTGGAAAAAGTCAATTTTTAATTTTTAACCTGAAAATAAATTCTTAAAATTTACTCTGTTCTTTTAGTATTTACGATAGCATGAAAATATTTTATGTAGCCATATCATAGTAATTTAAAAATTTTAATTTAAATCAATATATTTAAAATTTATTTATGAAAAAAAATTAAATTTGATATACACTACATTTGCTTTAACCATCACACGTTTCATGAGTTGTAAAAATATACAATGAATTTTTTAATTGTATATCATTTTATATACATAAAAAAATTAATTAGATTTATATAAATAAAATTCCTTTTCTATTCTTACCCTTAAAAATTATGTCAACTTTTAATTTCAAATAAATTAAACAATAAGAGATCTAGAAATTAACTTAAGTATTATTACATTAAAATGTTACTAACAATTTCCACTTAATATATTCGGGAATGTTATGATAATATTGAGCTAAGGTCATATTTTTCATATCCAAGTTGTCAAATAAAATGTCTTTGGTAAGTTGTTCACGAGGAACATTGTATCTTTTATGCCAAGAAACTGGGTTTTCATATCCGTCAACGAAGTGGTCAGTTTTAACTGCACTATCAAGAGGTTTGATACAAAGTCTATCAAAATCTTTGGCAATTAATGCAATATGATCTTGTATAGCAGCCATTATAGAAGTGTGAAGCGTTCAAAAATAGTTTTTAAAATCGAGTACTTAAAAAAACATAAAATTATATTGCTCGTTTTTCAAAATACTGATAGATTAACTGAAAATTCAATACACATCGCACTTTCTGAAATAAGATGACACAACTACAACTGAGTAAGAAGCACCACGGATTGAAAACTAATTATTGATAAAATCAAGGAAATTCCATACTAACATAAACAGTTTATTTTTGGACAAAAATGTATATAACTTAAAAAAATTAAAAATGCATAATTATAGTTTATTTATGAATGTGTTTAAAAATAACGATTTGAAACAAAAATCAAGGCATTGTTGAATTTAAACATATCATATTAAGCAAGATCTTTATTTTGATGCTTTATTAAAAAAATGTAAAACTTCTTTTTTGTAGTGACAAGTAAAAAAATTTAAATGCTTTCAACTAATGAAAATATTATAGCATTTTATGTTTTCCCTGTTCTCTTTGTGCTATTTTGATTATGGCGTCCTGCTTCAATGTACGTTTTGATCATAATTTAAGCCAGCACCAAACGAAGAAAATCTATTGTAGTCTTATATGAAATTAATTAAAATGACCATAAAAATAAATAAAATAGTTTTTAATAATTCCATAAAAGCATTGTTTTTTAGTAAGATAATTTTTTTTACCATATTTCACAAAATCGAAAGAACATAAAATTGTAACCCATTATAGTTATCAATAAATTATGTTAGGTATGACGGGGAATATCAGTCACCCGAATTTATTCTTATTTAAAACATTCAGTAAAACACTGATTGCATAGTAAGATTATTATTGTTATCATTACTTAAAATATGATGACCTATGGTGTAACTAGAGGGTGTTAGATGGTTGCAACCCCCTTCAAACAAATATGATTTTGAATGTTTAAATTCTTAGTCGAAATGACTTTTTTGTTTGCTCATTCAAATTTTTTAATAGCGATTCAGAGCAAAAAACTTTAGTGGGCATAAAAAGGAAATAACTTTAAATTATTTTCTAGTTGCGCTACAAGTCTATTATATAATTATTTCCACTTCACGAATTTGAAACATTTTTAAAAAGTCCCGTTACCCGTAACAACCATGATATTGATAGTAACTACTATCATAACATGAAACTAAAAAGTAAAAAATAAATATAGTTTAAAAAACTAAAAAAACACGCTTTTAAAGCACGTCGAACTAAAAAGTTAAAAATAATTTTTAAAATAAGTTTAAAATAATTATGAACAAAAAATACTAGTATTATTGTGATAAAAGCGTGGGTGCTTTGTGCCATATTTTTCGTATATTGAGCGCCCGACGCTTTTATCACAATAATACTAGTATTTTTTGTTCATAATTATTTTAAACTTATTTTAAAAATTATTTTTAACTTTTTAGTTCGACGTGCTTTAAAAGCGTGTTTTTTTAGTTTTTTAAACTATATTTATTCTATGTGCAAATGTCTAGCGTAGTTAAAAAACGTTCTATTTTTGTATTAACATTTTAATTATTCATTTTTGTTTGTTTTAAAATACCTTATAAGGGTTTGCCATAGTAATGAGTCCATTAATTTTATAACATTTACATAAATCTAACTTACATTAAATATTAATTTAAACTTATTTTGATTATTTTGCCTCCTTAAGGTTAAGAAAAAAAGCCGTTTTGAATTTTTGAACTAGTTTTAATTGTCATGTTTTGCGCACAATGGACCAACGGGTCTGAGTACATGGGCATTATGTCCACCTCGATAATAACTAAAACTAATTGTCATGTTTACCTTAACTTTTATGTAACGTACGGTAGCTTCATTAAATATAATTTAATGGATATTCAAACTCCATCCGTTGAAAGTATTTTTTTGTTTTTTTTTTCTTAATTATTTTTGAGGTGTAAATAAAAATCAAAGTTTGTTTGATTTTTATCTAATTTAAATTGTATAACTTCAATGAATATCTAGGACACCACCACTGTAGTTTCCTTTAATGAAAAGGAATTTTTTATTCATATTCAAATATTTTACTATAAGGTTTTTTTTATGTCAGTCATTATTTTTCTCAGCTCTAACTTAACTAATTTTTTTAAACAATACGTCAAATGATCACAAATAGTGCCTATTTAAAGGATATTGACCTCCTTGCTTTTATAATTATTTTAATAATCCACTAATTTCTTAAAATTGAACAATATCTATAAATTTGCATCGAAGGGTTTCTTATGATGGCGATTTTAATCACTGTTAGATATCATCTATACTTGTGTCAATATGCCACGACCACCATTGATAGCACCACTGTGCTACCGGTTTTTTTATTTGAACTAGTTAAAAAAACGGGTAATGTTAACACGTGTAGACTTAAGCTCAAAGTTTGCTTAATATATATATATATATATATATATTTATTTATCGTTTAATTGGAAAATCACATAAAATAATTTTTTATCACAAAATATTTTTGTCAACTATCTAAATATCGTTTTAAATTGATAAAAAATTATATATAATTAATTTAATATTTATCTCTCAATGAAAAAAGTGATTGGTAAAATTTTAAATTACATAAGAAGATTATTGTGACCCTTCATTTGTAAAATATGAATTTTTATGAACCTTTTAATTTTCTATTCAATTCATTTTTAATATATGTTATTGTTGTCATATATGAATTGTGTTATGTAAGAACATTTATTACTATGTTTTTACCACTTATATTACACACGTTTTATTTCTATTTATTTAATTCGTTGTACATATTAATTAGCATAGAAGGAGATGCTGATGTGACAATTCTAGTCGTCTGTAGCCCGGAGCTACTGACGTCGAACTAAAAAAAGGCAGTTGTGTTTGAGTGGCCGTTATAGACATAGTTTTCAATATTATTACTTTCGTCTTATTTATAACTTAACTTGTTTTGTTCAACGACACGTCTATCGCCAATTGTCATCATAGCCAACCAACTCCGTCTCACTTGGATATACCTACTAACCAACTGTACTAGGATCCAGGTCAGACGGTCATTACATATAACTTATACAAATTATATACAGGGTGTTCAGTAAGTCAGGAAACGGGTTTCTATTGTTCTCATTGTTACAATGAGTATTTATCTCATATATGATGTATAAATCTATTAATTTATTGTAAGAATTAGGGTTCATCTATAACAACTATGCGTTCAACGTCAAATCATAGTAAACCCATATTTTTATCAAAATTAAATTTTTATATAGTCCTAGGTAAAATAATCTGGGACTATACCCTGCCGAATTTTTAGCTACGATGCGAAGCTGAGAAGGTATTAATTTTATCATGTGTTTTTTTTTGTAATTATTCTATAATATAAATCCAATAAGACGCTTATGCGCCGAAGGAGCGTGAGTCCCATCTAGGAGAAGCCTAGTATTTTATATAATGTATTTAAAAATATATTAATCTAAATTATTAACAATGAACAAATAAAAAATTTTGCGATCTAATCAGTATCAGTAATTATGTATCAAGTATTTGATGATAACTTGCATTAAAATATTTTCATTATAATATTTATTTTGCAATTTTATAATNCGCTGATCTCATGAGTCTTATGAAATTTTGTAGCTCAAATGCTCAGAAATTTTACCGTAACATGGCACATGAATAGTGATCCATGCATCATTTGTTAATTTTTTTTTTATATCTATATATGCTCAAAGAATAATAATAATTTTGTTTACTATACAAGGTAATAATATTTCATTATTATATTAACAACAATGATAATACTATAAATTACAAACTAAGATAACTGTTATGAAAATGCCATACTTAGTTATTGTTAGTTTTAGATGACTTAGTTGGTTCTTGTCTGTTTTAGATGACTTAGTTCGTTTTTTCCCGGAACAAATGGGGTTTTGTTCGCAATTTTATCATTTACAGTGCCTCAACAAATTATAAGCAAAAAATATGTTTTGCCCTGTTTTGGCGTATTTTTGATCGACATTTAAGTCACTGCAGTACTTAATTTCAGTTGATTGTTTAATTGTAATTGCGTTTTAAAAATAAAAGTTGCATTAACTCTGTTTAAAAAAAAAGTGACTTAGTCGGTTTTTTCCCTGTACCCTTCATATATTCTAAGAAATATTTGTATGTGTCACAAAATATTTTGCGTAAATCAAAATAATATATTTGAATTGCTATGTGGGTTGCAGTATTCAAAATGTTATTTTATTATAAAATTTAAGCTGACAATATTTTAATCGATTATAATTTTTTTTAACATTTCTTAATATGATGGTTTTTGAGGGAAATTTTTCTAAATGATGTCCTTGATAGCTTATTTAAGCATGATTATTTATTATATACGTAATTTTACGCAATATTAGTCTAATAGAAGTATTCACATGGACATACAAAAAAAGCAATATAGTAAAACTAATACTTACTCAGATAGCTACGTGTCCAAGCTAAAAATATATCAGACCCAACCCAACCAAGATTTGTTTATAGTTGATAATTTATAAGATTAATAATTTAACTATACAAAGTTTCACTGAAAAACAATTTATTTATTCTTATTCACAAATGCCAAATTGTATAACTGTACATTATAAAAAACAAATTTACTGGAAAAGAATATCGAAGGTATAAAAAATATAAATATAAAATTAAATAAATATACAAAACATATTTTATTTAGACAAGAAAAATGGAGTCTTGAGAAACTAATTTTTTTTAAATAAATTAAAATTAAAAAGTATAAATTTATTATTTAACCTTTTAAATGTAATGTGATACAGGCCGTATTTAGGATTTTTTTTAAGGAAGGACTGAAATAATATATCCTAATAACTTTTTGCTTGAAATCAAAAAAATTCTCACTTATAAGTCGATAGAAAAATTCATGAAATTTAGGATAGCTTACGTCTTTGTCCTTTCCAAAAAAATACGCTCCCTGTTTGGTGGATTGTTTACCGCTCTACATGGATGTAATAATTATATATTCATCAAATGAAATTTAAGAAGCTACTTTTGAGCATAATAGTACACTCAACATTTTAATAACTAAATAGTGAAGAGTATTTACTGAATTGAGTATTATGAAAATGAAGTAGAAAACATGGTCTACATACATTTTTACAATTTCAACATCAGTATCACTAGATCTATAATATAATCTATATTAGATTATAAAAACATTAATTAAATATTTATGAATCTAATGATCACAGTTTATTAAGCTTAAACAGAACTTTTCAAGTTCTTCCTTAGAGCAACATAACTTATAATTAAGATGATGATTAAGTAAATAGATAGCGACGACACATCGATCCAAAATCTACCATCTGTCATACCAATTTCTTTAAATGTTGTTTCTGGAAAACGATAGTGACAGTATTCTTTATCTCCAAAACACCTTAAAGGATCACGGCCATAACCATATATGGATAAAACAAGTCCTTCTAATGCATATCTCATATAGCTGGAATATGAAACGTAGTACAAAAACGCTGACATATGATTAAATAAAACTAAAAAGCCTGCAAATAGAATGCACAAACATGTGATGATGGATCCAATAAAAACTCCATTCTGAAAAACAATATTAATTAGTGAAAGGTCATTAAAAAAAAAAAAAAAAAAACTTACAACAGGACTCATAGCTGTGCCTAAAATTAGGCCTATACCCTCAGATATGAGAGTCATTAGTTGACAAATAAAGAGAAACATAGAAAAGCGTGTCCAAGTTAATAGTTGTGATGTTAAGTAGTAAGCCACTGATGTGTAAATAAAGCAAAACATCATCTATGTAGAAACAGAAAGATTTTAATTAATACATACATCTATTATACATGTATCATGTAATCATAATCTCTTTAATCCCAATCGCAACTATTTGGGATTAGCTCAATCTTACAATGATTTGACAGGATTTTTATACCGGCTGTCGATCTGATGTAACCTCATTATGACTGAAGGAACTAGGAAGAGGGTAAGATTTATATCACTGTTAAAGTTAAAGGAAAGAGTACATCTGAACATTAGCACTAAGGCGAAGTCTGAATGATCCTCTGCACTTACATCACACTGATTAATATACAAATGTATTTATAGGTTTTAATCCAGACGTGAATCGAACACCGATTTTTATGCGCCGAGGCACAATGTGTTCCCGATTGAGCTAAGTAGGACACCTAAATGATATTGAGTATTTTTTTAAATTAAACTGAATTTTCGTGGTGGATTTATCAAAGGGATTACTGTTTGCCTATATTATTAATAATAACGTAACGTGCGAATATTCTAGAACCGCACACACAAAAACATGACAACTAACGACGACTAACTAACTTGTTAGGTTTGAGGTTTACATATATAATTTTTTAACTATTAAAAGTATTGATACTATTATTATAAATTATAATTTGTAAAATATACACATAAAAATAATATAGCTATATAGGTAATATAGACAGTTATATAATGTTATTTGTGTCAATATATATGAATATTATATATATATATTCCGGCGACGAACTAACCACCCGTCCCGGAGTATAAATGGTTAAGAAACCTCCTCCTTTGGGGAAGACCGCTATGGTCCTTAATAGGCTGATAAAGCAATAAAAAATATATATATGAATATAATAGTGTATTGACCCATTCATTACTTTGTTAAATTAATAAGCTCATTAATTCTATCTTGTTCTAGGTTTTGTTCCCTTAGTCAAAAAAACAATTGTTATATTTATCGGAATACTCAGAAATAAAGCTACTACGTTAAAAGATCTATCATTTTGGATAGTATTACCAAATAATTTCTGACTAAGTTAATATTATTTTTAAATGAAAAACTATTGAATTTTTGAATAGATGAAAACACCCTTATTAAGTGTTTAGCCAAATTATAAATCGGGGCTTTAATATTCGACACAATATGTCTCTTATTATTTTCTAACTTATGTACTTTTGGAAAAGTGTACAGTTTATGTATTTAAGGGTTAGAAATTTTAATAAAAAACTCGAAGTCTGCTTCGATTATTAATTTTGAACTATTGCAACGTATGTAGCCTCCCTTATCATTTTACTTAATGAATTATTTTTTATTTTTTTATAGGGAACCTCTTTAATGATATTTGATACTCTATTGAAATAGTCGTCTTTTTCAGTATTACTATGGAATTTCCGTTATTTAATTTTAAATAAAATTAATTTTGTTTTTTTAAATCATGCACTAAGTCTTGATTATTAAAATCAACACTTTTAACCCCAATTTTAGTACCTACTAGATTTTCCATAGGAAATTTTTTCGATGAAAAAACTGTTTTAAGACCCAACTTAAATGTATCTTTGTGTCTCTATCGAAAAACAAAGCGTTCGTGTAATATTTAACTAAATCATCCCCTATTTTTTAGAAAATGAAACTAACAGATTTTATAAAAAATATTTATTTTTGTGTTCTACAAGTGAGTTTTGAAATTCATTAACTTATCAATTTTTGTTTCGAATTTGTGTTCTATCACTTAATACATTTTCTGTTTGAAGATTTCCCACAATGATAGAAAATTAGAAAGTTTTGAATGTAATTGATATATTTAAAATATTATAAATATTAATTTAGAACTAAAAAAATATTAAAAATATTTGACTCATTATTAACTAACTTCTACTCTATCTATTAAGTGACTTTATTCAACAAACTAACTTCTAACTAAGATAGAAATATGGAAAATTTAAGAATCTATTATAATTTAGTTATCGTTAATTGAATTATTGGGGTCACGTTTATGATATTTTAGCAATATTTTATTTTACCTGAAAAACTATAATAAACTTACTTGAATTGGCAAATTTGTAAGGAGAAATGCTACGAAGTAAGTCGGTAGCTTATACCAATTGTTAAATAATTCTTTTTTTAATATATGTATTTCTGCCGGGACTGTAAAATAAAAAAATCGTCAATATTTGTTTTATCGATAATATTAAGTACCCTAAAATGCGGCTACTTTGATAATATTGATTTTATTTTAATTTTACAAATGTTAAAGCGTCTGGGTAAAGACCATTTATTGTCAAAATCAACCTGATTTTGTTTCATTATTAATACGAAACTAGTCATGTAATAAGAATTCCAAAAATAGATCTAAATTCAGCATCAAATCACTTTAATATCGGTTCGGCCTTTTTGAAATTATCATTCTCTTGACTATTAAAGTACATATTACATTTTTGAAAATTATAATTTTTTCAAAATAAATAATTGCATTAAAAAAATTATAATTCCATAAAAGTAGCCTGACCGATATTTAAGTGACAATGCTGAATTCAGATCTGTTTTTAGAATTCTTATCGCATCCAATAGTTTTGTCATATTAATTTAACAAAAAGGGGTTAGTTTTGTACATTCAAACTAATGGTTTTCAAACATTAGCAATTATATTTGACATGTTCGTGAGCGTATGTGCGTTATCCGCATTTGCAATTTTATTGCATAGGGCAATTACCGACTGGCTAAAAAAGGTTACAAATGATTACAGACTTGATAATAATATTAAACCTGTATACATAATATTTGACTATTATTTTTTTTGTAATCACCAGCAAAACTATCGCTGTATTTAACGAGGAACATATTGCTTTTATTTCCTATTTTTTAAGTGTCGTTAAGAAGAAAAGGAAATCGTAAAATAATAGCGTTATCAAATAAAAAGAAAAGAGGAAATTCGTCAACATTAAATAAGTGATAACAAACAAAAAATATCTGAAGAGGTACACATGTATTTAAAAACAATTATCATGCAAAATGCATGATCATTTTGTATTAGCTTCGATGCAAAACTGAAAAAGAATTAGTATTATTATGATGTTTTTTTTGTTTGTGTCTATCCACATCTATTTAATAGATTGTTATTGTTTAATGATACGTCAAAATATGTATTGTTAAAGTATTCTCTCTTCTAATGAATTATTAGGATGTGTTACACAAAACGGTTATTTTATTGTCTATAACAAGAAAAAAATACTCCTAATAAAGTATTTTGACACTTATACTCGTTTACTTCACACAAATTGACACTTTGTAACATAAAAATCGTGAAATTGCCTATATTCGATCTCTGTAAATAAGTAGGTACCCAGATACCTTAATAGTAAAGTCGCATATCAAAGTTACCTCATTTTAGGTATTTGGCTGAATAAATTGTTCTTTACATTTTAAAATAGCTGGCATGATAGAAGTATAACTTAAGTAAACAAGAGAAACAATGAAAAATCCAATATTATTAATTGTTTTTCCACCATCTACGCCGGCATTTTCAAAAAGTAGTCCCAGTAAAACTCCAACCAGAAAATGCATACACAGCTTAACATGAGTGACTGTCTAAAATAATAGTTGATGTTTTTTCTTGATTATTATTATTTTTTTAAATTAAAATTTATGAATTTAAAAATAAAGTAATTATTAATAAACTTAATTTAATTAAATTTTATTATATGAATATATTTAAATAGAATATAATTAGTTTATTTTATTAAAAAATAAATTAACAGTTGGGCTATTAAAATTATTCTATCAAATTATAACAAAATATTTCATAAAAAAGAAATATATTAAGTTCGATAATAATTTATGCATACCCAATCTCTGTAGAGTTGTAATAAAAATCTATGAATCAAAATCAATAGTTTATTTAACTCGGTTGGCTGGTTAACCAATACTAAAGTGGTTGTTAACTGAGTTTTATTTATTTTTTCGACTTTCAAATCTAAAATAGCATATCATGAATTAATATTTATTATTAATAAATAAATTTGTTAGTGTAATTATATATTTCAATAGTTCACCTGAACTCATTATTTGGCGTTGTGTTCTCCAAGAGTTATCAGAAGCAGCTATTTTTAGTTGTGATGTGTAGTGTCCATATTCTCCAGTGACCACTTCCATTACTGATAAAAAAAATATATTTATTTGGTTGATATTCATTTTATTATTTTTTAATTTTTATAGTAAAATGTTTTGGTGAATTATACCCATAGACGAATACGAAATCTTACATTTCTTTATTATAGATAAATATATAAAATAATAAAACAATTGAAGAGATATACAATGCGAATTATACTTCAAATGTTATTTTAATAATTTTTTGGATATAAAATTATATTAAGTATTTTTTTGGTTCGACAATTTATTAACTGAATGTATTATAATAATAATAATCAATTGTTATCAACAAACAGTATTTAGCTAAATAAAAATTTTATTAAAAATTATATGTATTGATATTTGAAGAATATTAATATTAATATAACATTTGGATATATTAATTCAGTTTATATTATATTCTTTGAAGCAAATACGATACATTAATTTAAACTTCAAATTAATTTTTGATTTCATTAATCTAGGTAAAATTTAAGCATCATTAAGTATTATGGAATGATTAATATTAAATATCATATATTCGTTAGAATAAATTTTTTAAAATGTATTGTTCAAATTTGTTGTCAAACTTGTTACAACAATCGGATTTTATCAATATTTTAAATATTTATTTTTGTATTATTGATAATAATTGATTTGACTCAATAATAGATAAATCTTGAAATACTCTTGATTTAAATATTATACAGTTTTTATCGATACCCAAAAGAAAAACGTTTTTTTTTTGTTTCTTACATAAGGCCTAATTATGACATTTAAAGAAAATTCAGTAGTCGATCGTCTGAGTCTCCTGATATTCTATTTAGTTTATATAACTGATTGTCTAAAAAATAGTTTGAAGGAAAATGTAATATACTTTGGTGGGCTATGTTTTCGTTCAATAAAATTTGATAATTTTATAAGAGGAGATATCTTTTTTTGTTCAACACATTAATTTATTGATGAATATTTTTAAAAAGATGCAAGGATAAAAAAAGAAATCAGAACTATCATTTTGATGATGGTAATAATCATTTTTTTAAGAATATGTACACGTGGTTTATAAGCGTATTTATTAAAGTATTGGGATCATATTAATATTATTAACATTTATTTTTAATTAAAACAACAACTTTTAGTCATTTGAATGTTAATTATACTTTTTTATTCTTACGTTCTATGCTATATTAATTTTAGTTTCAATGCAAAGCTGAAAAACTATTAATTTTAATATGACGTATTTTTTTTTAAATTTATGTAGTGTTTATAATATAGTTGAGTTACTGTAAAATTAAAAATAGTATATTATATTGGTATTGTAAAATAATGTTAAGCCATTCCAAATTTTAAATTTTGGTATTTAATGGAATTTTCAAAAAAAAAAAGGAAAAAAAAGACGAAATAAACAATATGAATTATTTCATACTTTTTAATTACATTGAAACCAGAATATTAATTAATTTATTATAATGGGTTAAACAAGAACAATTTTCTAGTTGGTCATTATATATTATACTGTTTACTATCTACGTCTAATAATAATAATATATACGATTTACAACGCTGCTTTTTTTTTTTTGAATTGTAGAAAAATTAATTTTATTTTTATGAAAGCAATACTTACTAAAATCTGCTGGGTTGTGATATTGTGGACAATTAAGACCAATTGTTTGTAAATAAGGTACGATGTTAAGAGACGAGCCTTGATAGACACAGAATCCTTCAGACATGATGTACACGTGGTCAAACATTTCAAACGTACTTGCACTAGGTTGATGTATAGTGCACACAACTGTTCTGCCACCTCTAGCTAACCCCTTTAAAACTGATATGCATTGATGTGAACTTGTGCTGTCTAAACCTCTAAAAATTTATGATAAAAATATAAATATCAATATAATTTGAATTTTTGCAATTTAAATTTCAAAATAACATTTAAATGATATTTTGCTAAACAGCTGAACGACCAGAATGTTTTTTTTTTTTGATGGAGATTTTTATTTCTAGAATATTTAATGATATTTTTTTTGTCAAACTAGAAAAAGTTTTCTCTGTAATGTTTTTTTCTTTTCAAATTTGAATGAGCAAAAAACCCAGCATAGCGTGAACGCAGTATAGATGGGACAAGTTTAAATGATATCTGACGGTGATATAAATCACTACTATTAAAAATGCTTCGATGTAAATCTGTAGTGTAAATATAAATATATTTATTAAATATAAACTGTAAAATTACAAATTTTGTAATTTTACAATTTCTATGTTTTAAAATTTCACTAAAATATTATTAAATTATTTGCTTGATTAAAAATATAGTAATTTTTGGTTGACTTCCAATTTTTTTATAGTAGAACAGTGGCTAAAAATTTTTTAAATATTTTAGTACACCAATAGCTTTAATTTGATTTTAGTTATTAGTTTATTCATTTCATTATTTTGTTATCTCTATAGCAAACGTATAAAAAAATTAATTTGAAAATAATTATTTGATTGTGTGGATGATATCTTTTGAACCCGTTCCTGTATATAGATTTTATTTAAAAATACACTAAAATAGAGCTTATTATCATTAGTTTACTCGGTTAAAATTATATTAATATAAGGATGCGTTTTTAAAAATATTTATAGCCGTTACAAAATGCAGAAAAAATATTGGTAATGTCATTTCTTACGATTGCATAGTTTTAAGATACTTTTTTAATTTTCTGAAATTTAGGGGTTTTTTTCATTTTTAAAAATAATAGATTTGAAGAAATTAAAATTGGATTTTTTTGACGCATAAATTAACAAAATCCGTTCAGTGAGTGCTGAGAATTTTTATGGAAAGACTTCATGATAAAAACCAATACATTTTCAGATCCACATCAAATATAAAATAAGAAGGTCATTCGACAATTTTTCGGCTATATAGGCCTTGTTGCTCAGGGTCGTATAATTTGTAAATTTCAATTTACTTCGACTCCTTTATACATTATAAAAAAAAAAGTGGAATAACTAATAATAGTATGTAATGTTTTCTAAGTAGTCTGCTCAAGCAGAGCAGTATATTCGAAATGGTAATGAATGTTTTAAGTTCTTACGTAGTTGGTTCATCAAGAAACATGATAGGTGGATTATCAATGAGTTCAAGGGCTATAGATAAACGCTTCTTTTGTCCGCCAGATAGTCTTCCGCACTTTGTGTGAATGCTACTGGCAAGTCCCATACTGTCTAGTATGTCTTCAATCTACAATAAAATGAGGCTATTATTTATTTAAGAGTATGACTTCAGTATTAGTAATTATAGTTATTTCAAAAGTATTATTATTACTATATATAGTGACGTGTATAAAAGCTTATGTAAATAAAATACTCTCACAATAGCATTCTTATTAGTCACAAATTCAATAACTACTTGTTATGAGCTTAAATTAGCGGAAAATAGCTTCGAGAAATTTACTAGGTTTATAGTATACAATGGTCCTCAATGTCGTCACGTAGACATGAAGTTAAACAAATAATGACCTTCAACAAGATAGTGAAATAAAAATGTGAAGAATAATTTAGGAACTTCAATTTAATGAAATCAAATTTTTAAATATACATTTTTAAATTTCCAGACAGTGAAATGTGTGATTTTTATATAAAAAAAACATATGCTTATCTAGTAAATATATGATGAAGAATAAGTTGGGTAATATTGAATAGGGAAATAAATAAACAAGTATAAATTTACATTTCAAAATTATAAAAATTAAAATATATTCATGCGTGAAACATAATAATTTAATTTATTTTGAGTTTATTAAGAAAAGTTTAATTATTTATTATTAAAAAATTATCCACTTAACTCATTTTCAACAATCAGTTGTTGAAAAAAAAGTAAAACTTTTTTTGATTAGTGGATTTTTATTTAAATTTCCACAAATGTATGAATAAAATTAATATTCAAAAAATTAAAGATAATTATTGACATAGGTCAATAAATTCAAAACAATGATCCAAATGAAATTTTAATAGGATATAGACAATAAAATTCAATGGTGTACTATTTGTAAACATTCAATAAAAAAAAAACCCAGCACAGTGGGGATGTGGCATAGTTGGGTCAAGTTTAATGATATCTGACAGTGATTAAAATCACTATCATAAAAAACGCTTTGATGCAAATCTGTAGATTGTGTTTAATTTTAAAAAATTGATGGATTATTCCAAAAGCTACATGATCTCCTATTTCCTTAATTATATACTGATTAAAAGTTTTATGATTTATAAGTGTAATATATGAATAAATAAATATCTATATATATTTATAATATATAATTGACTAGATACGACTTGTGATCTTTTGACGTATCGTTAAAAGAAATCAATTCGGTGAAAGCTGAGAAAAAGTGGTAACTGACACAAAAAAAAAAAATATGAAAAAAACACATCATAGTAAAATTAATACCTTTTCAACTTCGCATCGAAGCTAAAACTAATTATTTGAAAGAGACTACCCACGCATGTAAAAAAATTTTTTTCAACTTAATATTTGAAAATATTTCGGAGCGACTTTAATGATTCTTCAAAACAGAATTTCCTCGAAACAATTCTTCAAATCTATATAAAATTGAAGCTATTAAAATGTACCACAAAAAAATCTCACGATTAGTTTGCTATGATAAATATGCTTTCATAGTAAAAAACATAAACTGTGAAATTACAAATATACAAATTATTGAAAATTTTAATAGATTTGAATCGAAGCTTTTTTCATGTTACTGATGTTAATTACTGTCAGATATCATCTAAACTTGGTCCAACTATGCGGGGTTTCCTTTATGCCACGACCCTATTATGCTAAGTTCTTTCTTTACAGTTTTCGAAAATGTTCTGATTTCTCTTCAATGAGAATAGTGTTAAAGACAAAAAATGTCAAATTATTATAAAATTTTTCTAATTTTGTTCTGGAAAACCTAGGCTCCTTAAACGTATATTAAATTAAATATTTTTCGTTGTTTTATAAGTTCAATATTTTCTTTATGAGTAATAATCTTTCAAAATTAAAAATTTGTAATTTTTTGACGTATCCGACTGTTTTGTGGTAACACCAATCTATTATTTATAATATAAATATATAACGTAATATTGTCTAGTATGTTATATTGATAAATTTAAATAATCATTTTTAAAATAATTTTAATCTTATATAGTATTAGACATAAGTGTTCAATTTTCATTATATAGGTTATAATACTTACAACTAAAAGTTTAGATTTATAAGAGAGAGTATAACCGAGTTTAAGATCAGCCGCCATCATCATTATTTCTAAAACAGTAAATAGTGGACATAGTTGATCATCTTGCATAATATAACATGATTCTTTTCTACACATAATGTTTCCAACAGTTTCTGTTAAGTCAGAATTATTAGATATGTTATCGTCTTGAATTTTAGTGGTTTTAATCAATCCTTCGACACCATTACGTCTGTAATAATTTAAAACAATGTTGTTATGTGTTTAAAAAACTAAAAATTTCAAAAATTATATGGGACATTTTATTTGGCTTTTTTTTTAACAATCCTGATTTAAATCGAACAACTAATGATTGACTTATAAAATAAAATATTTGAATTTAACTAAGAATATTGTCTTCTAGTAGATTATTTGAATAATTCTATTTAGTAATGTTCAATTATAGAACCAAAGTCAGGGTGATCATTTGAATTGATTGGGTGCGTTTCTTGCAACAAATTAATGTGTAACTAAAATTAAGCTTAAAATATTAAACTTTATAATACCATACAGTCAAATTTGCCAACTTTGGGCGGCGATGAAATTTAAGAAAATTAGATATCTTCCAGATATCATTACTTATTTTTTGTTAACAAATATTTTGTTTTTTAACAGTATAAGTAAATATTTTATTATTTTATTCAAACTGTAGATTGAATGAAAATGAAAATAGATATTTAACTACCCCAAGTTTGCCCATTTCATGATTCTTAATTTTATAAACTTTTCTAACAATATTAGGTTTGCAAAATAATATTGATGAATCAATAAAAGCTTTTTAAAATCATTTTCCGTTGATTAAAAGTATTTATAGTAAATTACTTTGACACGACTTACGTCGCAATACTCTAATCGACATTAGTTTTGATGGTAAAGACGCGGGACCGTGTCAACTTTGTAAATTAAAATTGAGATTTAAAAGAAAGGTTCTATAGTATGTTATTATAATTAAAGTACTATGTATATTTAATAATTTCTTACTGAAAACCGGTTAAAATATTGAGCAATGAAGATTTTCCTGCGCCAGAAGGTCCCATTATAGCTGTTAATTCACCGCAATTAAAACGTCCAGAGATCCCTCTAAGTATGTGTTTCGTTTCTAAAAACATTAAAAGTTCAATATTACACATTAAATAATGAAAATTTGTATAATTTTTATTGCTTAAAGTGTATAGATTACAAACGTAGTTTTTAAACGGATAATTAACTACATAAACAATTACGCTATGCACATAAATAAGGCAATAACTAACTTGTTTGTTGTTATCCAAAATAAGTTGTTCAAGGTTAAAATTTAAATTTTTATTCTGTTACTAAATCACGTTTTTTTGAAAAATTCACTACGTGTTCTTCTGATTATCTTAATTTAGTTTTGAATAACTTAGTGTATATTTTTTAATTTTCCGGTTTTTTTAAAATATAATAACGTCCGACTATGAAAAGCATCGTCTCTAGTTTTATTTCCGATTTAGTATTTCCGATGAAATAAAAAATCCATAAGTTACTTTATATGGAGCTACCAAAACGATTCATTTATTACTTCCTTATATCAAAATACAATATTATTGTGATGGCAAACTAAATAGGAGTACAAGCTTAGTAGAAATGTCAACTATATTTTTTGTGAAATATAAAAAAATATTAAATATATAAATCTTTATTTGAAATAACAAAAATGAATTTATTAAACAAATAAAAAATTTTGAAAGTACATTTATTATAATATGATAAATATATTATCTTTGTTAATTTTACCAACATGATTTTTCAGTATATACAGAATAATAGGATATGATTTTGAGTTAATTATGTTTTATATGATTATAAAAATTATAAAACGCCTATTAACTTTTAATATGTAAAAATGTAGTTTAGATAAAGAATAGTCAATTAGATTAAAATTTAATGAATTCTTAGTCTTATTGAACGATTTTTAAAAATATTGGGTAGTTAAAATAACATTTTTTATAATCCAATCTGGTCAATTTTGGTAATGGTTTGTGACTTCTGATATATATGTATTAGCACATATACTAAATAATGAATAAATTAACTGATGCAGAATTGCCATGTATTTAAGGTCAATTAACCGGAAGATGTTGTCAATAATAGGAAAGGAAAGTGTGTGAAGCAGTGATAGCTCTATTAGTCAGTGAAGTAGCCAAAATAGAAAATTTACTCGTTTTATTTGGAAATTGTTGTCATCACAATATAAGCCTATTGTAAAGTCGTCACTATATATCCAGTTTTCGCAATACTTAACTGGGTTTCACCTGTTTCGTGAATTTTAAGTTTAGAAATCATTTTCATGTTGTCATATAACATTGTAATAATAAATAAAGACAAAGATCTAACAACAACAACTTTGGAATAATTATTTTAATAGATAATAATATTATTTTGTATGATGGATTGGGAGGAGTAGCTGAGAAACATGTTGAGATTAAAAAATATGTCCATGTATCATCTAAAGTATACGTTTTGAAGTGTGATGCCGTCACGATATTTTCTCAATTAATATACCTTAGATATATTTTATTTGTAAAAAAGTAATAGTTATGTCTTATATGCTTAAAACAAGTTTGCGATCCTACATTGTAATGTTACATTTTAAATGTACTTTTAACATCGCACTCAACACAAATTTTTAGTATTTTTCAAGTATATTTATCATAGTCTATCAGTCGTCAAACGTAATACAGAGTGATATTGATTTAATTTAATTTAATTTATATTTACATACAATATAAATTACAGTTTTTATATTAGTGATTTGATTATTACAATAATCAATTATTTAATACTAAAATCCCTTAAACTTTATGATACCATAATTTTTTTTTTTAGTTTAAACTTGTAAAAAAAGAAAGTTTCTTCTTAAAAAAAAAAAATGTTAATAATTAAACGCTATGAAAACTACAGAATTATTTAATGATGTACTACAGGTACTAGTTATTTCTACATACTTTTCGTAAGTAGGTTTCTACATATTCCCTAATAAATTAATCCTTTCATATATTTATTAGTATGTATGCCCTACTAAATACTATATAATATGGCATCATGTTATATAATGACAATATTTAAGTTGTTCATGTACATGGCTTGACCTAATGAAAGAAACTGCCCTGATATTGAAACTGTTGAAGTTAAAAATTACAAAATATTTAAATAAGTACTTTAATTAATAACAATATGTTTCAAAATTTTTTTATTTTTGATTGGATATCTTAAATTTCAAATGTCTTTTGAAAACTTACACGATTTTTCCTACAATATTAATGTTATTGTAAAAAATGTACTGTACTAAACAAAATTATTAATTAACATAGCAAGAATAAGTGGTCTTTCATCAAAATATTTTTAACAAATGAACAGATTACCGTTTGTCATATAGTAGTCACCATGCAGACTTTTTTATTTTTAATTTTTGGATTTATATAATATAGGATAACTCAATCAGATACTAAACAATTTAGGATTTTGTAAACTTCAAAATTATACAATAGGTTTATTATAACAATTTTTATTATGAACAAAAAAAAAGGTTATTTTATTTATTTTTTTATATGAAGTTAATAGATTTTTATAAAATTAGTAAAATTAATTTCGCCTAATTTTAGGAGAAAATGACATAATTTTAAGTTTTTTCTTTCCCTATCTTAAATTTTAATATTACGCCAAAATTGTATAAAAGTACTACTATACACCTTGTGGTCTTCTATAAAAAAAGGTTTTATAAGTTGTATTCATTTTTTATCGTATAAAATTAAGGAGCGTACACTCAAGAAAAAAGAAAATTCTTCCCTTTTTATAGAATAACAACTCTATTGAGTCACGTGAAGAAGTCGACTTATTGAGTTCAAATATTACTAAAAAGTTAAAAAGAATATTCACATTTTTGAGAATATTTCCTAAAATATTAGGCTAATCTTACTTTAATATAGTAATGTAGTAATGAACTAATAATTTCGACATACATTAAAAATTTTATTACATAAAATAAAAACGTAATCATAATATTTAATGAGTACAAAACTTTTTATTTAGCTTAATACTTTATTTTTCAACATAATGTTGAGTGATCAAAAAAATAAATACTTTTTGTTTTACAATTAGCATACAATAGAGTATTATTAACTTTTAATTAACATAAAGTATAACGGTGTTTTATACAAGGTACAGAACGATAGAAATATAACCTACATGATAATAAATTGTAAATGATACGTATACAATTTGCTATATAAATGCACGGCTTTGAGTAACTTGATTGAATATTATGAATTAATATAAATAGTGGGAATTTTTTACCTTGAATGATTTGTTCAAATGTGTTAAATATAATGTATATATCAGTATCTCAAAGTTTTATATTGAATACTTAAATATTAATTTAGATTTAAATAAATAAGTTGTGATTATGAACATCTGATATGTAATATAATAGCCAGATAAACTTTATTAAGTTATGATGTAGAGTAGGTCAATGTTAAATAAGTTTATAGATCACGCAAATAATCATGTAACCGTTACATGCACAATGTTTTTAAATAAATCTAATTAATTACCTTTTTTGAAATATCCGATATTAACAGAATATATGACGTCTTTAAATGTTATGTCCATTGGTTGGTTTTGAGGTAGGTGCATTAGCACCATTCGGGGAGCTGAAGTCATTTCGATTTGAACTGATGACAGATTATTGTAATGCGTTGTAATTAAGAATCATTTACAATAACTATTATTGCAATATATAGGTTTTGTAATTTTACTTCAACGATATTTCATCCAGCATACTTTCAGCTCAAAATATTTTAACACAGTCTGTAACAAAAGTTTAATATTTTTACTGAAATTTTAAATAATACAATAGTATACATATGCTTATTATCTTGAATGTTTTTGGTGATGATAACCATTAAGTTTTTTATACTTGCTATATGAATAATATTATGTATTGTAATATATATATGTATAATAATTAACATATACATTGTGTCACCAGGTTTTGATAAAGCAAAAATGTTGCATTAGTTTCTATAAAATTAATTTTTAATTTTGAAGTATATTAATAAAAACATACAATAAAAATACATGTAATGATATTTAATTATTGTGCCTAGAAGCAGCTTATTTTTTTTTAAGTATAATTATTAAAATATTTATTTTTAAATTAGTTATCTATTATAGGTTTAATATCGGTAGTTAATATCTGAAATCTGTAAAAAATTACATCAGCCAGTCTTAATAATAATAAATGTACTAACATCAAATATAACATTAGAATTATTAACAGTTACTACATTTTTCTACGGTTCTTAATAAAAACTAAAAGAACATGACCCACATTGGTAAAAAGGTGACTGATTCCTGTAATATTAGCATAGAAAGATTGGACTGTAGAATTTACCTTTTAAAGAATTTAAAATAACTTTTAAACATGTATCATTAAAATAAAATTAATTATACACAAAATTTCATAATGTCTTATAAAAATTTTCTCCAAATATTAGAAATATTATTTTATTACTTTATAAATTCAATATCGACCGTTCAAAATTTGGTTTAATTAAACATTAAATTTCTTAAAAATATTTAAAAATCTGAAACCATTGTTTTAATATTCAATAAAATATGAAGGTTGTGAAGTATATGTATGATAAATACAATGTGTTTATTGATTAAAAAATCTTCATGAATTATACGTAATATATTGTGAAAAAATTACGATAAAACATTTTATTAATATGATGAAACATTATTATGGTATAAACTGTTTTACTTGCTTGTGGCTGTTTTGTTTGAAATGTAAAATAGAATTTATGACGAATAATATTAAACTGCATATAAATTAATTGTAGGCTATAAAGAGTATATAATTAGTGACCACCAATGGATTTGTAGTTGGTAAAAATTGGGTGTTAATATTCTTATTATAATTGATTATAAACAATTCTTATATTTTATAGATATTCAAGCTATAAATCAATTAATAATTATGTAAATTATAATAATGTACTTCAGACCTAAATAATTTTGTGTTCGCGTAAACAGGAATGTCATTAAATTATTTAAATTGTACAATAACTTTTTTAAATTGCTTATTATATATATTAAAAATGTATATTCTTATACTTTAAAAATATTCATTTGGAACAAATAAAAATTTCAATCGTAAAGAAATCATCATTTCTTATAACTATTTATATTTAGTATTAAATAAATGACTAAAATTCTATAGTTGACCTGTTGTTTACCAAATTAAAGAACTTTTTGACAATTTAAATACCTTTTTTAATTTTAGTAAGCATTTAGATAAATCGTTAATTTAGATGACTCGTGTACTTCATTAATAATAATAATCAGTGCTCGAATTGGCCAAAAATAAGTAGGGGAGCTCAACTTAACAATTTGAAAACTGCGTCCCTAGTATTTTGAAGACCTTTTTTTTTTTTTTTTTTACTCATTACTTTATTTAGTATTTATTAATAAATTATATTTCATTATCATACTAATATTTAAAAAAAAGAAAAAAGAGGTGGTATTTTCCACCGTCCTCCCGTTACAATAAAAAAAAAGTAGAGGAGCTACGTCCCCCTGCGCACCCCCCCAATCCGAGCACTGATAATAATCCAAGTTCAATTATATTTTACACGCTAATTTTGTTATTATAGCAAGATTTTTTTAATATAAAAAGAATAAAATTTCTTCCATTTATCGTTAAAAAACTACAATAAGAAATTGAATAAATTTTTATTAAATTTAAAACGAGTCTCAATGTTGTTTTAATGAGTAGAATTTACGTTTCTCTTAGTATTTTAAATATTTACAATAGATTTGAACAATTGATATGATAATCGATTTTAAATCACATAACCATAATGACGTGATATTTAATGTAATTGCAATCAAAACTTTGATTAAAAATACATTTATATGTATTGACATAAAAAAGTCAAAGCTTAGGGGCTTAGCCCCTTGACATCATAGATTTTAGAACTTAATTCATTTTATAAATGGTCACGCAATATCAGTGGCGTAAAGAACACAGTATTATTTTTTATTTTGTTTCAATCCATTAAATAGTAAAAACAATAAGTTATAAAAAATTATAAAGAATTAAAAGAAGTGCACACTTTTACCTAAAGTTATTCTATTAAATAGATCTCTAAAATTGATAGTTGGTACTACAATCTCTGTAGATTCAAATTTCTAATTACTCCCATGTTCACTTACAATAGAAATTTTAATATAGTACAATGATTTGAAATAATATTAGAGTCTCGGATTAGGAAAAATATTCTATAATTTTATTAAAATATTAAATATACGTAAACGAATCCTAATTCAAAACTCCTTGTATAGCCCATATAATTATAATTTCTTATGATAAAATTAATATTATTTTAGTAGTTTAGTGTAAAAGAATTAAATACAAGTATAGAATCATAAAAAAATATTAAGCCGACAGTATTTCTGATAAAAATTGTAAAGATTTTTATAGTAGTGAGAAGTCTACTGATATGGATTATATCTATAATATAGAAGGTAAGGGGGTCAGAAAAATAAAATATATTTAAATAAATTTCATAGTCTTGCCCAATATATTATGTAATTTTAGAATATAGATGTCTGGAAGAGGATATCTTCTACCTGGTAAATCCGCCACTATTAATGTATTTAATAAAATACCATAAAATATTAATTATAGGAATGTTAAAATTTTAGATTGATATTAATAAAAGATTAGAAAAAATAAACTTTGTATATAACATTTTTTTAATAGAATTTTAACTACTGAAGGAACTTCTAACCAAAATGACTTCTAATTATAGCTACCCATTTAGTAGAAAAAAATCGCAATATCATTGACCGTAATTTTTTTTCTATTCGCAAAACACGTACATATGTAAACACATGTGATTAAGCAATTTTGTTTATACTCATAGTGATTGGCGTCTTTGGGTTACTAGTTTCACAGCAGTTACCACTCTCGATGAGGCTGATCATACTTATACACAATGTCGAAATGTTATCGCGCCAATCTCCATGAGGTATTGCTTAATGTAGTCGACACACATCTCTCATGGTTTTGTTAAGGCATAATATAATTTGCCGACAAATACTTTAATCATAAATCATTATATTTTGCAAAACAACCTTGCCCATTATCACTGTACGTTGATGTTTTAATTTTATTATTAATTTTACTTCATCGTTTACGATTATTTTTTTGCTTTAAGGTTTATGTATTTGAAAATAAAAATCTTATAAGAAGGAATTTGGAAATAAATATTATTTTCTTAAGCATTTAAAAAAGCAATTTCATTTATCGTATTTCAAAGAATAATTTTTTATTCATTTATAAAATAAAAATTAAATCATTAAATTAATTTGCTATTAATAATTTGAAGTGTCACCTTGGGCCTCCTCTAAAGTTTATAATTGAGTGAGTACAAGAATAAATTTTACCCAAATGTAGCTGATAAAGTAGTTGACTTAAAATTTTAAGTGCAAAAATAGTTCTATAAAATCAAATATATAATTTGTCTACTATAAATTTTAGAAATATTAATTATTGTAAAAATTAAATAATCTTTGAAAGAAATTCATAACTATTTTATCTTTTCAATATTTATTGGTTTAATTACTGCAAGTAAAAAGATATGAATTGTGAAAAAGTAACACACTTGTTTTTTTATAATTCTAGATTACTAAAGAAGTATGTAACAAAAAAGTATTATAAACAAGAAAAAGGATTTAAAACATAAGTGTTCTGTAATAAAACAGAAGTACACAATTTTTTTCATTTATACTCGTTTCATTTAAATTTTACATTCACATTTATTGCCCGTAGCTTGAGTAATTGTATATTTTATATTATTTAATCTCTTACTTTAAAAATATTTTTGTTTTTACTGAAGATATTAGTATATTAGCATATTTAATAACCTAAAATCAATTTATAGGCATAGAGCAATTAAAAAATACATAATTATAAATAATACACATTAATATGTATTATTACATGCATATTATTAATACACATATTTTTTTTAACCAATTTTGAACTGTTTTAAAGTGTCATAGAAAGTATTGTAGTTTAGGTTTAAATTTAAAACCATATTTAGCTATGAAAGATAATGTTAAAGTATGTACTTTTTTATTTTATAAACCCATTAGGGTTTGTTAAATTTATTAAGAACTATAAGGATTACAGCTTAAATATGTATAACTTGTTGGAATTTGTTTAACATAATTATTTTATTTCTATAACAGAAGAGACACAACAATATATTTAAATATCATTAAAAAAAATAAATTTTGAATCATCGTGACTGATGTATTTTATTTTTAGTAATTTTATAATATATTAAGAATAAATAATAATAATTATATTATCTGTTACTGAGGATGCTCCACATTCTATGTATATAAAAATTAAAATCTTAGGTATTTTTTATTAATAAAATATATTTAATAAGCAAATTATTTCTTTTGTGATATTTATAATGTAATCATTACTGTTTTATATAAAATAAAACTAATTATTTGATGAAATTTTATGAAATCAAGATTTATCTTATGATATTTATTTGGTTAAGATCAAATAGTCATAATCGATTGTTTTTCAATAATTGATTATGACTGGACTCAGTGTTATTTCAGCCATACTATTAGTAGTATATTGTGAAGAAGGGACATGACTTTAATTTCTCCTTGCACTATTGTTTTCTAGTAAAACTAAGACCTTCCATATTAAACATTAAAAAAAAATTATTTTTGTAAATACGACTGAAAAATTGTTGTAATTTACATTTAGA